CCAGTAACATCTCCATCATGAGACTTGTTGTTACTGTGTTTGGCATATCGAATACGCCACGGATAGCTTGCCAGGCTTTGCTGTGCGGGCGAGATGCTCTCAGTAGCTTGCTGGGCTCTCCGAGAGGGGCAGAGGAATCGAACTCGGGTTGGCCACGTGGGCCGCATGCAAGGCAAATGCTCTACCCGCTGTGCTATCGCTCCAGTGCTATATATATTTAAAACAAAAATTATATCTATATTTTTTAAAAAATCAACTGTATCTCATGGTGATTCATTAAAATAAAATAAAATAAAATAAATCAAGGAGCAAGGATCTTTGTATACGGCTTGGGTCTAGCCTTGGGCACGAACCAGGTGAAGGGAGATGCTCACTTTAGCAATAATAAAACTGCTAATCCCAGCATGAGTCACCCAGAATAAGGTGGACGATTAAATAACAACAACAACAACAAATGTTGTGTGCTTTCTCTAGCAAAGGGAGAATATTTCAAAGATTTTGAATGACAGAGGTGAAAGACATCAGTGAAAAGAATGACAAGGCTATGAATCTTTTTTTTTCCGGTGGGGGCAAAGGGCAGCACACACTTGGCAATGCTCAGGGTTTCCTCCTGGCTCTGCACTCAGGAATTACTCCTAGCCGTGCTCAGGGGACCATATGGAGTGCTGGGAATCGAACCCAAGTGGGCCTCGTACAAGGCAAATCCCCTCCCCGCTGTTCTATCACTCCGGCTCCAAGGCTATGCATTTTTAACAGGAATATTAATTTAAACGAGGTGGGAGGGGCCGGAGCGATAGCACAGCGGGCAGGGCGTTTGTCTTGCATGCAGCCAACCTGGGTTCGATCCCTGGCATCCCATATGGTCCCCCAAGCACCGCCAGGAGTAATTCCTGAGTGCACGAGCCAGGAGTAACTCCTGAGCATTGCTGGGTGTGACCCCAAAAGAGCAAAAATAAATCAATAATAAACGAGGTGGGAAAGGGGTAAACCAGCCAAGCAGAGAAAGAATAAAACACCTGTGCATGTTATACACTGAGGACCTGTAAGAGGTTATTTTTTTGGTTTTCTTTTGCTTTGCTTTTTCAGGGGTCACACCCGGCAATGCTCAGGGGTTACTCCTGGCTCTGCACTCAGGAATTACTCCTGGCGGTGCTCAGGGTACCCTATGGAATGCTGGGAATCAAACCCGGGTCAGCCATGTGCAGGGCAAACGCCCTACCTACCCGCTGTATTATTGCTCCAGTCTCTGTAAGTTTTTTTTTTTGTTTTGTTGTTGTTGTTGTTGTTGTTGTTTTAAAGCATAGTGTAATGTAAGTAACCAGGGAAAAAAAAAAAAGCTAGGAACTAAGCCTACACTGGAATTTAGGCCCAAACGCATACTGTTCACTGGACTCATTTCACTGCATGGGAACAGAGCTTTCTCAAGGGGAAATTTCCCTTCTCTCTTGCTTCCTGTGGCAGACCTCTGTATTCTTCGAACTTTGCCCCTAGCTTCACCAGAGCACCCTTAAGGTAGAGTAATAACCATCACAAATGAAGCACCCACTTAAGGCATGCAGGGTGCCACATAATCTCTTCTTTTTTTTTTATTAAAAAAATGTTTTAATAGTGAGACATCATGAGGTACAGTTGTAGACTTACAAATTTTGTGCTTGGGTTTCAGTTATACAATGATCAAATACCCATCCCTCCACCAGTGCCCATTTCCCACCACCACGGATCCCAGTATTCCTCCCACCCCCCATCCCCCCCATCCCACCCTGTCTCTGTGGCAGGGCATTCCCTCCTGTTCTCTCTCTCCTTTTGGGTGTTGTCTGCAAAAGAAACATTGAGTGGCAATCATGTTTGGTCTACAATCTACTTTCAGCATGCTTCTCCCATCCTGGGAGGATCCTCCCAACACCTTTATTTGGTGTTCCCCTCTTTATCTGAGCTCCCTTTTCCCCTAGTATGTGTGGTTGGCCTCCAAGTCATGGACATAATCTCTTCTTAATCCATCCCAGCCACACTCGCTGGCAGGAGTTACAGCCCCAGGACACGCCTAAACCACAACAGGAGGGCAACCCAAGTTGCTGCTGGCTTCAAAGCAGATGCTAGGGGGACTGGAGTCATAGTCCAGCAGGGACGGCTTTCGCCTTGAACGCAGCTGCCCCAGGTTCGATCCCTGGCATACCATATGGTTCCCTTAGCACTGCCGCCAGGAGGAATTCTTGAATGCAAAGCCAGAAGTAACCCCTGAGCATCCCCGGGTGCGGCCCAAAAAGCAAAGAGATAAATAAATAAAAAATTTTAAAGGACATAAACTAGGTTACTGTTTTTTTGTTTTGTTTTGTTTTTTTTGGTTTTTGGGTCACACCCGGTGATGCACAGGGGTCACTCCTGGCTCTGCACTCAGGAATGACTCCTGGAGGTGCTCAGGGGACCATATGGGAAGCTGGGAATCGAACCCGGGTCGGCCGCGTGCAAGGCAAACGCCCTCCCCGCTGTGCTATTGCTCCAGCCCCTGGGTTACTGTTTTTACGTTGCATATTTATGCAATGGCAGGCCTATCTTAAACTCTGGATGTTGGGGGTGAAGGGGGGAGGGTGGGCAGGAAAGAAGTCAAAAGCCTGGCGTGTGGGACCAGAGCAGGTAGGGCTGCACTGTAAGTAAGTACAGCGGGTAAGGCTGTACTTTTACCTTGTACTATTACCTTGCATTGCAGTCAAACTGGGTGTAAACAGCATCACATGGTCCCCTGAGCACTGCCAAGAGTAATCCCTGAGTTTAAAGCCAGGAATAAATCCTTGAGCATCGCTGTGTGTGGTCCAAACCCCAAAAACAAGTTAATTAATTTAAAAAGTAAAAGTAAAGGCCCTCCCGTTGATCGTCGATTTGCTCGAGCGGGCCCAGTAACGTCTCCATTGGAGACTTTGTTGTTACTGTGTCTGGCATATTGAATACTCTCGGTAGCTTGCCGGGCTCTCCGAGAGGGGCGGAGGAATCGAACTCGGGTCGGCCATGTTGGCCGCGTGCAAGGCAGACGCGCTACCCGCTATGCTAAAATGTAAAAAAATATATAAGGGGGCTGGAGAGATAGCACAGCGGGTAGGGCATTTGCCTTGCATGTGGCCGACTCGGGTTCGATTCCCAGCATCCCATATGGTCCCCTGAGCACCTCCAGGAGTAACTCCTGAGTGCAGAGCCAGGAGTAACCCCTGTGCATTGCCAGGTGTGACCCAAAAAGCAATATATATATATATATATATATATATATATATATATATATATCTGGAGTGCATGATTTGCTGGCTAGACCCCTGGTTTCCATTGCCAAACAACAGGAAGTCCTTCCAGCAAATCCAGGAGCAATGACCCCTAAACACAGAGACAGTTGTAGCCCCGAGCAAAAAGAATACCAACAAAGATAGAGACAAACACAGAGAAATATATAGAGATGTTCTTACAGGAATATACTGACAGAACACATCTATATACATCCAATATTCCCAATATCTAATATGGGGGAAGGGGGTTTGCTAATACAGAAAAGCATTACTCAGGAACTTTTCTCTGTTTTGGTTTTGTTTTGTTTTGACAGAAAAGAAAAGTCCTCCTGGGGCTGGAGCGATAGCACAGCGGGTAGGGCGTTTGCCTTGCACGGCAGCTGACCCGGGTTTGATTCCCAGCATCCCATTTGGTGCCCCTGAGCACCGCCAGGGGTAACTCCTGAGTGCAGAACTCCTGAATGCACTCCCTGTGCATTGCCGGGTTTGACCCAAAAAGAAAAAAAAAAGTCTCCCTTGTGGTTAAACACATTTTTACATATTTTTGGGGGGGGGGCGGTTGGAGGGGGGTACGTATTTGGGTCACATCCCGCTGTGCCCAGCACTTGCTCCAGGCACTGTGCTCAGGGATCACTCCTGGCCGGTGCTTTGGGACCATGTGAAGTGCTGGGAACCGTACCCAGGTCAGCAGAGTGCAAGCAGAGCGCAGCAGAAGTGCCTTAATTCTCCCTACAACCCCTCCCCGCCCCCACCTCTACCCGCAGCCTATTTTTTTGGAAATTGCTGGAGGAAATGGTTTGTCTTCCTTCTGCATCTTCTAAATCTCCCTACAAAGGATTATCCAACCGCACGCTCTGGGTGTCCGAATTACCCATTTAATTGCCTCGCTAAAAGGGCCAGTTCAAGCTGAACAGCGCGCGCGCCAGACTCCTAGCTAGGGCGCAAAAAGTTTTTTTGTTTTTTTCTTTAATTACAAATTCGTGCAATCACCATCCCCTCCACCATCCCCACCCCACCCCCCGGTCCGCATCAATCACTCAGATAAACTGGGATGAAGTAGTTCTGGGCAAAATCGGGGTCCTCCCTCCCTCCCTCCCTCCCTCCACGGATCCTTTTTTTTTTCTTTTGTGGGCCTTTTGGGCTACCTCGCCTGGGCACAGAGGCTCCAGAGTCCACGGCCGTGGGTCAACACGCGGGCAGCGGGTTCCAAAACGGGACCCTCGGTCCCCCCCAAAGCCCCCAAACCCCCAACCCCACGGGCTCTCGCGCGGCCGCGGGCCCTTTAACGCGCGCCCGAGCGCCCCGCGCGGGGCCGGCTCCGGGGCGCGGGGCTCCACGCGGGGCGCACACGCGCGCTGGGCGCGCACGAGCCGGGCCCCGGGGCGGCCGCGGAGGGGCGGGTCCGCGCGCGGGGCGCCGCCGAGGGGGGTCGAAAAGGATCTGGAAGACTCCGGGCCGGGCCGGGGAGCCCCCCGGGTTTTTAAGGACCAGGAAAGAGGAAGGGGGTAAAAAAAAAAAGGAAAAAAAAAAGCGATGACCCCCCGGGGCGCAGGCGGCACCCCGGGCCCAGCCCGCCGGCGCCCCGCCGCCGCCTCTAGAAAGTTCTCCGGCGCGGCTCCGCCCAGCCCCTCCCCCGCGGCGGGTGGGACCAATCGCTCCCCCGGGCGCGCTGTCCCCACCCCCTCGGGCTCCCGCGCCCGGCTCGGCGGCGGGCTGCGGGCGGCGGGCGGGGGCAAAGGTGCCGGGACTCGGCCCGCGCCCGCTGCGGACCCCGCTCGCCGGCTCGCGCGCCCGCTCGGGCCCCGCTGCCCCGGCGCCAACGGCGATGACGGCCGAGGAGATGAAGGCGGCCGAGAGCGCGGCGCAGGCGGCGCCGCTGGCCCTCGCGGGAGGAGTGGACATCAGCCCCAAGCGCGACGAGGGCGTGCTCAAGGTACGGGCGGCCGCGCTGGGGGTGGCGGGGGGCGCGCCGGGGCCCCGCAGCCTCCCCCGCGCCGCGCCGCGCCCCGGGGCCTCCCCCCGCAGCCTCCCCCGCGCCGCGTGCGGCCAGCGCCGGCCCGGGGACCCGGCGCCGCTGCCCGCCGGTGGGAGGCGGGACTGGCCGGCCCGGCCCGGCGCGGCGGGCGTCCACGTGGCCGTGCCCCGCAGCCCCCCGCCCGGGACCGCGGCCCGAGTCGGCCGTGCGCCGCGCTGCCGAGACGGGCGGGGCGGGGGCGCAGCCGTGCGCGGCCCCGGGGGGCCCCCCGCGCTGGGCGCTGGCCGGAGCTCGCCCACCCCGGCCGGGCACTTTGGGTCTTGGGGAATCCATCCAGCGGGTCACCGGAGAGTTCGCGTCCTGGCCCGGATGCCTTTGTGCAACTTGACTCTCGCCCGGGCCCGCCGGGCCAGCGCGATCCCCGGCCCCCCTGGTGACCCACCCCTTCCTGGACACGGGAGGGGGGGACCCGGCAGCCCACCCGCGCAGCCCCGCTGGCCTCCCCCCCAGCTCGGCCCCCGGGAGGGGAGGGGGCTAGAGAGCGGTGCACGCCGGGAGCGGTAGTCCCCCCCCACCCCACCCCCCAATACGTGCCCCCCCCCACCCCACCCCCCGACCTCCTCCCTCTTTTGACTGGGGCCTGGGGTGGAAGCTGCACGTTTCTTGCCACGACTTCTCCGCTTAGCTACAAATAGCGCGCGTTGCTAGGGGGCGGGCCCCCGCGGCCAGGGCAGGACAGCTTGACCCGGGTCTGAAGGACCACGCAGCCTGTTTGGATCAGCAAGTGTCTGGGCTTGCTAATCCCTCGCCCGATATTTGGGGTGTGTGTGTATGTGTGTGTGTGTGCGCGCGCGTGTGTGCGCGTGCATGCCCACTCCTTCTCCAGGAGTGTTTCTCCACCCCCTTGGCGCCCCGTGGCGCAGCCCCAGGCTGCCTGTGACCCGCTGGCTCCTTCTGCCTTTGCCCCAGGTCATGCCCTCCCAGCCGTGGCGGAGGGGGCCCCTTCGCGCTCCTACCTGGGCACCGCGCCTTGGCACCACTCTCAAGCTCCGATGTGGAAACTTTCCCACGGTCGCCACCCACCCAGCCACTGGCCTTCCTTAACGGCTTGGAGAGGGGTTTTCTTAAGTCCCGGGGAAGTAACTTGTAGCTGGGATTTCTGGGACTTACCCTGGTCTCCCAGCAAGAAATGTTTGTCTACAACCTGGGGTTTTCTTGGGGACTGCACTTCTGTTTTATGGTAGTACTCACCTGGGTGGTGCTCAAGGCTTCCTCCAGGCCCTGCACTCAGGGATCGAACTCGTTCAGCCTCGTGAGAGTAGTTGGACTACCAGTGCACACTCTCTCTCTCTCTCTTTCTTTCTCTCTCTCTGCCCCCCGCGTAAACTGCGTGTTCCCTGCATTGCCCAAACTCCCTTTTTTCTGGTTTTTTTATTTTCATTTCTTTGGAGGGGTTGCTTGGGGCCATACCCAGTTGTGCTCTGGGTCAGCTGACTGCATGTAAGGCAGTAAGCACCCTATTCACTGTACCGTCTCGCCAAGCCTAATCTAGCCAGATAGACCAGATCCAGTCACTGCCGTTTAAAAAAGAATGAGAAAATATAGCATTTTTAAGATTTCTCCCTTTGCTGGTGGTATTTTCTTATGAAGTCCTGTAGTGGCTAAAATCCTCCACCAACTCAGAAAAGGAAGTAGCGTCAGGGGCCAGAGTGCATGGCTCTGTGTGTGGGAAGCCAGGAATAGCACCACAGAACCCAAAGAAGAAAGAAAGGGATTAGTAGCTTTGCTCCAAACAAGGCCTAGTGAAAGCTCTGTGGACTGTGACACAGGCTCTAAGGTCTGCGTAGTTTAATTGACTTAGACATGGGGCAGGTGGCATATTTTTTTTTTCCCTTTTGAGTCACACCTGGCAATGCTCAGGGGTTACTCCTGGCTCATGCACTCAGGAATTACTCCTGGCGGTGCTCGGGGGACCCTATAGGATGCTGGGATTCAAGCCCAGGTTTGCCGTGTGCAAAGCAAACGCCCTACCCGCTGTGCTATTGCTCCAGCCCCCAGATGGCAATTTCTTAATTAATTTTTTCCCCCCACCATTTGGGGCCAGGGAGTAAATTGGAACTGGCTGTTCAAGGCATGAGCATACAGTTCATGACTCCAGAGCTGTCTCCCTAGCCCCAACTTTTTCGGGGGAGGGGGGTTACTGGTAGTACTCAACTGCTCCTGGGATGCATGGACACTGCTCCCCGCAGTGCTCGGGGCATCGTGTATTGCCAGAAATCAGACCTAGGCCTCCATGCAAAGCGCGTGTATCAACCATTTGAGCTATTTTTCTAGACCCCGTGGTCCCAACTTTGGAAACCGAGTCATGCACGTCTCAAATATGGGGGGTGGGGGCTGGAGCAATAGCACAACGGGTAGGGCGTTTGCCTTGCACGCGGCTGACCCGAGTTCGATTCCCAGCATCCCATATGGTCCCCCGAGCACCACCAGGAGTAATTCCTGAGTGCAAAGCCAGGGGTAACTCCTGAGCAACACCCGGTGAGACCCCAAAAAAACAAACAAAAAATATGGGGGGTGGGCATCATTTGGTGATTGCTCCGTTCTGGGAACTGACCTTTCCTTCTTCCAGGTCATCAAGCGAGAGGGCACGGGCACCGAGACGCCCATGATCGGGGACCGAGTCTACGTTCACTATACTGGCTGGCTCTTGGATGGCACCAAGTTTGACTCCAGTCTGGACGGGAAGGACAAATTCTCCTTTGCCCTGGGAAAAGGTAGGCCTGCTTGCTTCATGGGCTGGTCGCGTGGCCTTGGCCTACCTGACGCAGTCTGAGTAGAAACTGCAGTCTCAGAACCAAGCTTAAAAAAAAAAAAGAACCAAGCTTAAGGAGGAAGAGCTTATTCCAGTCATTTATTCCCCCCCCCCCCCCCCCCCCCCCCCACTTCTCCGAACGGAATCGGTGTTCTCTCCTTCCCACTCTCCCCTCCCTTTCTCCTCAGGAGCGGACTAGATTGTTTCCTGTACCCCTTTGTTCAGAGGTGGTGGACCTTTTATTTATTTCTTTTCCATTTTGGGAGTCTGGGATCGAAAGCGCTCCACTCAGCCACCCAGCTACACTCCTGACTCCTGACCTGTGTCTGAGACCGGAGCCAGCATGCCATCTCGCTGGGCGTCTCCCGCTTTCCCTGGGACAGGGCAGTTGGTCCCTCCACACTCCGCCCAGAGTGGATCTCGGCCAGAAAGGACCCCGTTGGCTTTCTCTCCCTACAGGGGTAGTCATCAAGGCTTGGGACATTGCCGTGGCCACCATGAAGGTAGGGGAAGTGTGCCACATCACCTGCAAACCGGAATATGCCTATGGCTCAGCCGGCAGCCCTCCGAATATCCCCCCCCATGCCACGCTGGTGTTTGAGGTAAGTGTCCGGCCACCCAGTGCCAGGCAGACAGCCAGGCATTATCTCAGCCCCGGGTCTGGCCCTCTTCCAGCCCTTCCTGCCACTTGGACACAGTGTAGCCACGGCTGAGGGCCTGGCCTTAGGGGGAGGGCAGCTGGCGCTCAGCTCAGCTCATACCTGGCCACTACCAGAAAGTGGCCAGGCTTGTTGGGAGAGAGAGGAGGAAGGGACCCTAAACCCTCTTCGGGTACGGAGCCGGATGGGGGCTCAGGCGTGTTCATCTTCCTGTTTGCAGTCTGGGCCCTTGATGCAGTCGTACCCCGAGATCGTGCAGGGCCAGGGCACTGATCCTCCTGCCCCAAGGCATCGTACCTTTCTGAGCAGTGGGCCTAGACAGAGAGGTGTTGGGGGCGGGAGGCTGAACATAGCCAGCCAGCTCAGGTTCGATCCCCAGCACCATCAGGTATGACCCCTGCCCCCTTGCCCCCTGACAGAAACAAAAAAAGAGCAATGCTGAAGAGGGGAGATGGATGGGTCGTGACTAGAACTCGAAAGATCAGGAGACCAGTCTGTGAGTCTAAATTTAGACCAACAGGCCAGAGATAGTCCAAGGGTGCAAGGCACTCGCCTGGCATTGCCTAGAGAATCCGGAGGCTAACCAGGGCTCCATCCTCAGCACAGAGCCGTGACCCAGGGGATCCGAGGAGAGGAGAGCCGCCTCTCCAGGGTGACGGAGGCAGAACGCGGTGAGGGACAGGGAGGGATAAATGCTGGAGACGGAGGGTCTTTAGTTATTGCTTGGTTTGGGGGAGGGGGGTTCACACTCAGCGTTGTTCGGGGGTTACTCCTGGCAGTCCTCAGGGGACTATATAGGGTGCTGGGGCTCGAATCCAGGTTGCCCGCGCCCAAGGCGAACGCCCCACAATCGCTCCGGCCCCATCACGTCATGCCGACCACCTACTTGATGGGGCTTTTCAAGAAGCTGGATTCTGGGGCCAGAGCAATAGCACAGCGGGGAGGGCGTTTGCCTTGCACGTGGCCAACCCGGGTTCGATCCCCGGCATCCCATATGGTTCCCCCACGCACCACCAGGAGTGATTCCTGAGTGCAGAGCTCAGGAGGAACCCCTGGGTATTGTTGAGTGTGACCCAAAAAGGAAAAGGAGGGGGAAAAAAGGCTGGATTCTTTTGTGTTGAGTGCTGGTACTCATGGATAGCGATGTCAAAAGGTGAAATCAGGAGTTGCCTGCCTGCTGCCATCCAATTAGGGCCGTTCCAGGAATGTCGCAAGGGACACTTCGTCTCTGGGTGAGTCCTGGCTGAGCCCAGGGACAGCAGCGACCAGTGTGACGGATCCTTGGGGCTCCGGATTGTGGCCACCGCCACCTGCATCTCCGAGGAGCAAGAGCCTAATCTTCCCGATCACATGACCCATTGCTGGAAGGAGTTGTGTCACCTGATGTTTTGTCCCACAGGTGGAGTTATTTGAGTTCCGGCCAGAGGATCTGACAGAGGACGAAGACGGTGGCATCCTCCGAAGAATAAGGAAGCTAGGTGAAGGCCACGCCAGACCCAATGAGGGCGCTATTGTGGAGGGTAGGTGTGGGCTTCGCGTTTGGCTTCTGAGTGAGATGCAGAACCCATTTAGCTTAGAGCAGGTCACTTTTTTTTTTCTTTTTGGCCACACTTGATTGTGCCCAGCACTTAAACTCCTGGCGCTGTGCTCAGGGAGTACTCCTGGGTAATGCTTGGGAGACGTGGGGTACCCAGACCCAGCTCAGCTGTGCACAAGTGCCTGGCCCTGCTGTGCCGACGCTTCGGCCCCATCGCGTTCTTTTCTTCCAGATGTTTTTGCCTGTGGAAGGGAGAGCCTTGACGTCTCTTTATGTCTTGGCATAGAACAGGAGGCTCCCGGGCGCAGGCAGGGCGGGGGGACGGCTTAGGGCAGCCCTCCCTCGCTCCCCTGCCCGCTCAGGCCTCTGGGCCCTCTCTTAACCTGCAGTTGCACTGGAAGGGTCTTGCAAAGACCGGATTTTTGATCGGCGGGAACTCCGCTTTGAGATCGGCGAGGGAGAAAGCCTGGACCTGCCTTGCGGGCTGGAGAAGGCCCTTCAGCGCATGGAAAAAGGCGAGCAGTCGGTGGTGTACCTCAAGCCCAGGTGAGGACCGGGTATCAGGACCCACAGACGCTGTTCACATCCACGTTGAGGGGTGGGGTCTGAAACGCCACCGGGTTCGTTCCCTGCGCCCCTGGCCACCCGCCCGGGATGTGTTCCTTGGCGATCTCTTCACTTACTTTGGAGGACGGCCCCTGTGGTCCACAACTCCTAGGCCAAAGCCTAAATCTTTCCCACCGTCACTGCTGTAGCTTCTCCCATCTCCCACTAACCCTGTCAAACAAACCCGCTGGGCTGGAGCCTTCGATCACCGGCACCCATATGGTTCCCCAAACTGAGCCAGGAGTGAGCCCCGAGCACTACCAGGCATAGCCCAAAATCTCACACATACAGACACAACTGTGCAAAAGTGCCATGCGGGGCACCCCCCCATAATAAAGCGCCTACTGTGTGCTGCTGCTAATGATACTAAAGTACCTACTGTGTGGTGCCATGCTGGAAATTTTTGGGGATTCAGAGATGGCTGCCTTCTACTCAGTGAAATACCTTTTTTTTGGGGGGGGGGTAAATTACTGGAGTGATACCACAGCGGTAGGGCCTTGCGCACATGCCAGCCCAGCTGAGCTGGGTTCGATTCCTCTGCCCCTCTTGGAGAGCCTGGCAAGCTACTGAGAGTATTTAATATGCCAAACACAGTAACAAGAAGTCTCACGATGGAGACGTTACTGGGCCCGCTCGAGCAAATCGATGAACAACGGAAGGACAAGATTTGGTAAATGAATCACCGTGAGGTGCAGTTACAGACTTACAGACTTTCGTGCTTACGTTTCAGTCATACAATGATCGAGTACCCATCCCATTCTCTACCACCAGTGATCCCAGTATCTCTCTCTGTGCTCCATTCCCCCCCCCCCCCTCGCCTTTTGCTCTCTCCTTTTGGGTGTTGTGATTTGCAATAGAGGTATTGAATGGCCATCATTCGGGCTATAGACTACTTGCAGCCTGCATCTCCCGTCCCGAGCAGTGAGATACCATTTAAATGAGCAATCTGGTGGTGGGAGTTCCCAAGAGGCAAAGCAGCCCAACTTACTGTGCCCCCCGAATGAGGGAGGATACGATCACATGGGAAATTTTTTGAACCGCATCTCAAAGGACAGGAAACAGAGCCAGGAGGGGGATGAGTCTGGGCTGGAGATCCCCTCGGGGGGAAAAAAACACCAGGGACCGGGCACAGCTGAGAGCAGGCAAGGTGCCACCATGCCTCAGAGGGGTTGGGTTTGGTCTTGTTTTGTTCCTGCCTCCAGCTACGCTTTTGGCAATGTCGGGAAGGAAAAGTTCCAGATCCCGCCCCTGGCCGAGCTAAAATACGAGGTGCACCTCAAGAGTTTCGAGAAGGTGAGTTTGCTGGACGTCTTTTCCTGCACCCAAACCCAGGTCCCCACCTGGAGGGGGGACTCTTGGGGTGCTGACTGTTCTGTTTCTCCGGTGGGGGACGGCAGGCCAAGGAGTCCTGGGAGATGAACTCGGAGGAGAAGCTGGAACAGAGTGCCATCGTCAAGGAGCGTGGCACTCTGTACTTCAAGGTGAGCCACTGGCCACGGGCCTGGAAAGACCTTCCGGGAGGGCTGCTCACAGGTCACCTTCCTCGCCGTGCCTGAGATGATTTCCTGTCAGAGCTTCTGCGCTCAGGAATTACCCCTGGCAGTGCTCAAGGGACCATATGGGATGCTGGGAATTGAACCCGGATCTGCCACGTGCAAGGCAAACGTCCTCCCCGCTGTGCTATTGCTCCAGCCCCCGTTCTCTTTATTTTTTTGGATCACACCCAGTGTTGCACGGGGGTTACTCCTGGCTCATGCACTTGACTCCTGGGGATGCTCAGGGCACCCAGTGGGAAGCTGGGAATCGAACCCGGGTCTGCCATGTGCAAGGCAAATGCACGACCCACTGTACTATTGCACCAGCCCCGTGAGATGGCCTCATGGCAGGGGGTGGGGGGGGGCGGATCCCCTGGGGCAGAAGGCGGCCATGCCCTTGGGTCGCTGGTCTCTGCAGACAGGACACCACCACCACCCGCCACCACCCCAGTACCCCTGAACTCGCTCAGGGGGCCTCCACCTCCCTCCACTTGCAGGAAGGCAAGTACAAGCAAGCCGTCCTGCAGTACAAGAAGATTGTGTCCTGGCTGGAGTACAAGTCGAGCTTCTCGAAAGAGGACGCGCAGAAGGCCCAGGCCCTCTGCCTCGCTTCCCACCTCAACCTGGCCATGTGTCACCTGAAGCTCCAGGCCTTCTCGGCTGCTGTCGAGAGCTGCAACAAGGTGAGGCCCCCGGGGAGCCGGTGCTCTGCCTGTTGAGGACTCGGGGAGCCAGTGCTCGGCTTCAGCGGCGGGTGGGGGGAACATTGGATGGAAAGCCGCGCTGGGCGGTCTTTGCCTCTCCCTCTGCCAGGTTGGCTTTGTTCTGAGGAGAACATACAGGTCCCAGGTCTCTCTTCCATGCCAAAGACCGGCCCCTCTCCCTGCCACTGGGACTAAATGGGGGGTTTGTTTTGTTTTGCTTTGTTTTTTTCTTTTTTTGCGTCACACCTGGCTATGCACAGGGTTTGCTCCTGGCTTTGCACTCAGGAATGACTCCTGGCGGTGCTCGGGGGACCCTGTGGGATGCTGGGAATCGAACCTGGTTCAGCCGCGTGCAAGGCAAACACCCAACCCACTGTGCTATCACTTCAGCCCCTAAATGGGGTTCTTTTCCTCAGCTTTGGGCTTTTAGTTTTCATTCAAATGCCTAGAACCATTTATTTCAGTCTGCATCTGCCCCCTGAGGCCCGCCTAAGACACCCGTGTCCCCCCCGCCCCCCCCAACCCCCGGCATGGCAGCCAGGTGGGCCAGGAGCTGAGGGCTCCCTGTGCTACCCCCACCCGTAGGCCCTGGAACTGGACAGCAGCAACGAGAAGGGCCTTTTCCGCCGAGGCGAGGCCCACCTGGCAGTGAACGACTTCGACTTGGCCCAGGCTGACTTCCAGAAGGTCCTACAGCTCTACCCCAGCAACAAGGCCGCCCGGGCCCAGCTGGCCACCTGCCAGCAGCGGATCCGCAAGCAGCTCGCCCGGGAGAAGAAGCTGTACGCCAACATGTTTGAGCGGCTGGCCGAGGAGGAGAGCAGGGTGAGGTGTGGGAGGGGCCGTGCAGGGGACCAACCCCTGTGCCCGTGGCTGAGAGTCCTGGAAACTAGACGTCTCTCTGGGCCTGGCCGCGGAAGGGCAAAAGCGGCCTCCGGTTGGGACTGGCACCTACTGGCTTGGCTGCTTTGTGCTTTTTTTGTTTTTTTTAGATATAGTTATTGGGGTTTTTTTTGTTGTTGTCGTCGTTGTTTTTCCAAATCCTGGTTCTGCTCACGGGGCGGGGGCACGTGGCCTGGATTCCAGCGCCACCTGGTCCCCCCGGGCACCTCGAGTTGTGGCCTGAGCACATGCAGAACATGTATGTGTGTGTGTCCGGAGACTCCTGTGTAAACTCGGTTAATACGTTGGCACGGTTAAACAAACTCCACGAGAGAACATGTAGCCAAGTCTTCCTTTTGTCCACAAGCAACTGATTGGACCAGTTCTTGGATCCTGATGTACGTGTGTACGTCACTGGCATACAGGGACATCGCGTGTGGGCATAGACCATGGGTGTTCTCTTGGTGACACAAGCAAACAGGTTTCTTGCCTGACGCATGGCAGTGGGCCTTTCTCTGGGCGTGTGTTCTGGACATACGTGAGGATACTTGTGTCACGTGTGTCTGTTTAAAAGCTTGACTCATTTCCTCTTTGTATTTGGCTTGTCTTCCATTGTGGGGGGAGACTGTATTGTACCTCCCCGTCTCCCGATTTCTTGATTGTTCGGAGGTTCGAACCAACACCAGAAAGACAGGGCCAGCGAAAGGTCATTTTGAACTTTTTGGTTTTGTTTTTTTGGGGGGTGGGGCCAGGGGGTTATTCCTGGCTTTGCACTCTGCAGTTACTGCTGATGGTTCTCTGAGACCTTTCTTTTTTCTTTTTTCTTTTCTTTTTTTTTTTTAATTTGAGCCTTTCAATAATAGCACTGTCCTCCCATTGTTCATCGATTTGCCCGAGCGGGCACCAGTAACGTCTCCATTGTGAGACTTCTTTTGATTGTTTTGGGCATATCAAATACGACATGGGGAGCTTGGCAGGGTCTGCCGTGCGGGCGGGATAGATACTCTCGGTAGCTTGCCGGGCTCTTCGAGAGGGATGGAGGAATCAAACCCAGGTCGGCCACATGCAAGGCAAATGCCCTACCTACCCCCTATGCTGTTGCTCCAGCCTTTCACTAATAAGGTTAAAAAAGGTGAAATGAACTTGATGGTACTTAGTTCACCCAGAATATCTTGACTCTGTGATATTTATTTATTTATTTTAAAATTTAGTTTTGTTCCTATGTGTTCCTTGTTTTGTTGGTGCCCATACCCAGCAGTGCTGAGGGGTCACTCCTAGCAGTGCTTGGGGGGGGCCATATGTGGTGCCAGGGATCGAACCCGTGTTGGCCGCATGCAAGGCAAAGCGCCCTACCCGCTGTCCTATGGCTCCTGCCTCTACATTTCGATGTTTTAAACTTCAGACATGAACTTGAAATAGTGGCATATGTCACATGGGTGTTGTGGTGATTTGTAATTCCCAGTGTCTTGTTTTCAATGCCCTCCCCACCTCTCTTCAACTGTCACCGCTGTTGCAGTGACCCGGGAGTCTCACACCCACCACCAGTGGGGCTTGCTGTGCTCACCAGGTTTGCACTCAGGTGTTTGTGAAGTTGCCTTGGGTGTTGGCCGCAGCTCAGCAGAGGTTACAGTTCCTAGCCGGGGCGTTTGCTCCTGGTTTCAATACAGCCAGAGGTTGCTGGCTCAGATGCCAGAGTTGCTGGGATTGTGCTCCATGCGTGGGGGACGCTGGGGATTGGGATTTGGGGCCTGTGGCTTTGAAAGGCAGGCACTCAGCCCTCCACAATTGCTCCAACGCTGGGACTAACCCTTTTGAGCAGTCTGGGAATAAAGGGACCTCAGAAATGTGTATATGCAGGTGTGTCTTTAGGACATATGCTACTTGATAGGAATATGTTTTCTTATTAGGTTTTTTTTTTTGAGGAGGGGGGTTGTTTATTTGTTTGTTTTGGCTTTTTTGGGTCACACCCGGTGATGCACAGGGGTTACTCCTGGCTCATGCACTCAGGAATTACTCCTGGCAGTGCTCGGGGGACCATGTGGGAGCTGGGAATCAAACCCAGGTTGGCCGCGTGCAAGGCAAAAGCCCTACCCACTGTACTATCACTTCAGCCTCGTGTTTTCTTTTTGGTGTTTTGGTCACCCTAGCTTTGTTCAAGGATCACTCCTGGCAGGGCTTGGTGGGAGGACTCTGGGGTGCCGTGGATCAAGCCTGAGTTGGCGGTGTGCAGGGCAAACCCCCTACCCCCTGGACTGTCTCTCCAGCCCTAGCAATGCGGTTCCTTTTGGTGGGTGGGGGCCACACCCAGCAATGCTCAGGGCTTCCTCCTGGCTCTGCACTCGGATATATACTCCTGGTGGTGCTTGGGGGACCATATGGGATCCCTGGGGTCAAACCCAGGTCTGCTGCATGCCAGGCAAGCTCTGTTATCTGCTGTACTATCCCCAGCGCTGGAATGTGTTTCTTTAGCTTGGGGAATGAGTCATTGTGGGCATGGATCATATACAGTATCTGTGTGTCACGGGTCATTTGGATATAGGTGAGCAAGAGTGGGGACAAGGAGGGGGAAGTCACCCTTTCCCGGGGCCGGAGCCATAGCACAGCGAGTAGGGCGTTGGCCTTGCACACAGCTGGTCCAGGTTCGAATCCCAGCATCCCATATGGTCCCCTGAGCACTGCCAGGAGTAATTCCTGAGTGCGTGAGCCAGGAGGAACCCCTGAGCATTGCAGGGTATGACCCAAAAAGCAAAAGCAAAAAAAAAAAGTCACCCTTTCTCATTGGAGAGACTTGACCAATGTCCCTCTTCACCCCCCACCCCCGCATAGGCGAGCGCTGCCGTCTCCACAAGGGACACAGAGATGAAGGAGGAGCGGAAGCAGGACGCGGCCGGAAGCCACCCTGGGGTGAAGACGGAAGCATAGCCTCGCCCGTCGCCTTGCTCAGGGCCCTCACCCTGGGCCGCTACCTCCCCTGCGCCCGCCCCCCTCCTCCGCCCTCTTAGTTTTGTAAAAACCGAAGAATTTTGAGTGACTTAGACCTTTATTTTTCTATATGATTGGATGGTGGCTTTCGGGGAAAGGGGGAGGAAAGGAGTCGGCTGGGGAGGATTGAGCTGGGGTCACCCCCCCCCCTCTGTCCTTCCCCCACTTACATGTGTTCAATGAATGTCCATCCACATACACTCACCGGGATGTTAATTTATTTTGCTTCCTCTGTTCCGCTCTGTCCAGTTTCCAGATAGTCAGAGGGGGGTGAGTGGCAAGGATGAGGCGGGGGGGGAGGGGGGGTCTGGTGTGAAACCATGCTGCAGAGGGGAGACCCTTGTGGAGGCAGCCATTTTTTTCCTCTTTTTCCTCCGCCGGTCTCTTTCCAGACTGTGGCCTCTCTCTGGGTGCTAGGGGCGTGGGGGAAACCACTGCTCAGCTTACTCCCCTCTCTGTCCCCCTCCTCGCCCCCTGACAATGTGACTGAGGATTGGCTTCTGGGACCCTGTTCCCTGCCCCTCCCACTGTGCCCCCTCCCCCACGCCTCCCCCCATCCGCTGCCCTTCTCAGGTCATGGCCCCGCCCCACCTCGCCTCAGCCTCTTCTGCACCTTTCTGAAGGTCCAGGCTCAACCTCAAGTTCCATGCTTGAGCAATAAAGTGGAAACAGCAAAGCCTCGAGTGTCGGGCCACTCTTTCTGTTGGGCCTGGGGGCGGGGGGCACCAGAGAGGGGCAGCTGGGGGTTAAGTTGCTTGCCTTGCTATGCGGGTAGGGGTGGGGAACGGGGGGGGGGGGGGTCACACCTGGTGATGCTCAGGGGTTACTCCTGCCTCATGCACTCAGGAATCACTCCTGGCGGTGATCGAGGGACCCTGCCCGATGCGGGAATCGAACCCGGGTTGCCCACGTGCAAGGCAAACGCCCTACCCGCTGTGCTATCGCTCCAGCCCCTTCCCTGGCCTTTGACCCAAGTTTGCGCCCTCACCCAGCCCTGCCTTCGTAACCCCTTGAGTACCATCTGGTATGAGCCCAGATACCTCCGCCACAAACCCCACCCCCAGAAAAAAATTATAAGGGGTTTACACGCTTCATCCCCGCTCCTGATTCAAAGGCAGAGAAGCCACCGTGGGTGGAGCTTCCGGAGTTGGGGCCACCAGCCACTGAAACGCCCCCACATTCCCCAGCGGCCTGTCTGGTCTTCCTTGCTGTTTTTTTCCCCTGACATGTAAAACGAGGTGAAATACGGCTTTGACCCTTGTCTCTGTTGGTAAGGGAAGCCACTGCCCTCCGACGTTGCCAGGTGAACTTGGCTAGAGGCTAGAGTCTGGAGATCGCTGCCCTGTGTGTGGCATGCCAGTCCTTTGACTGCTCTGTACGGGAAGCAAGATCAGAAGAGATTGTTCCATGCAACAAGGGATGATTGCGGTTTTCTATGAAAGTGGCACCAAGTGTGGGTGGTGCTGGAACCGGGACTGGTATTTGAGTGTTCAGATCTCCCGGAGTCTGCTTGTTCTCACTTGGCTTCACACCCTTTGTGCAGGGCAATGGTGATTGGGTCCTTTCCCATGCCAGGATTAAACTTGCCTCTGCAGCCAAGGATTTTAATCCTAAATGCTCCCATGTAAGCCTCATTCTAAACCCAGAGTTTCATGAAGATCTACCTTAACCTGAGACTTGAGGGTATTATCTCATTTTGAAAGATGAGGAAACCAGGCCAGAGATAGTACAGCAGGTAGGGCACCCACCTTGGATGTGGCTGACCCAGGTTCAGACGATGCCTGGCATCCCAGAGGGTCCCCCGAGCACCGCCAGGAGTGATTCCTGAGTGCAGAGCTAGGAGTAACCTCTGAGTATCACTGGGTGTGACTCAAAAGGGAAAAAAAAAAAAACAGGTTACTGGAAAAGAAAGCCCCTGCAGGTGTGAGAACTTGAAGGAATCCAAATTAAGCTGAAGTTGTCATCACCTTGGGCAAGTAGAGCCAGTCTTGCAAAACGGCAATGAAATCAATCCTGGAGCCTGAGATGTGACAGGAGTTAAGGCATTCATTTTAAACCCGGATGACCCAGGTTCGATCCCTGCTACCACAGCAAATAGTCCCTCAGCACAGCACCCAAAATGGTCCCAAACACTTCTTCCCTCCACTTAAAAAAGCAATCCTGGTGCTGGAGTGATAGCACAGCGGGTAGGGCATTTGCCTTGCACGAGGCCAACCCGGGTTCAATTCCCAGCATCTCATATGGTCCCCTGAGCACCGCCAGGAGTAATTCCTGAGTGCAGAGCCAGGAGTAACCCCTGTGCACGGCCGGGTGTGACCCAAAAAGCAAAAAAAAAGCAATCCTACAGTTCTACCGGCTCTGAATACTTCTAGATGATTAAATATAAGTACTCAGGCAGAAGCCCAGAACTGGACGAGCCATGGTTTATGTGACTTTAAGACTGTCTAGTGAGGGGGCTTGGGCTTGGAGTGATAGCACAGCAGAGAGGTCATTTGCCTCGCACACATCTAACCCACATGCAAACCCTGGTATCCCGTATGGTGCCCCAAGCACTGCCAGGAGTAACCCCTGACTGAGTGTATCACCAGGTGTGACCAAAAAGAAAACAACTGTATAGTGAGGCTATTCATTAAAGTGGGTAGAAGGTTTAGGGCAAGAGTGATAGCAGTATAGCAGGTAAGTACTTCATCTGGTCCCCTGAGCACAGAGAACAGGAAAGTCCTGAGCACAGCCAGGTGTAGTGGAAAAACAAAAGCACTATAGCACTATCCTCCCGTTCATCGATTTGCTCGAGCGGGCCCAGTAACGTCTCCATTTTGAGACTTGTTACTGTGTTTGGCATATTGAATACGTCACAGGTAGCTTGCCAGGCTTTGCCGTGCGGGCAAGATACTCTTCGGTAGCTTGCCGTGCTCTCTGAGAGGGGCGGAGGAATCGAACCCAGCTTGGCTGGGCTGGCTACCCACAAACGCCTTACCGCTGTGCTATCGCTCCAGCCCATAATGTGGGTAGCCTACCAAAAGGGCATCAGAAATCAGAATGCAAGTTCGAGCTGGTAACAAAACAGAAAATAAAAAATAATAATAATAATAAGTTACAAACTACTCTACCTAGACCACATATACAATGACTATGAGGAAACCTAAGGAACTGCCCAGATTTCCAGGTCTGGGTTTCACTTTTCTAATTGAAGTTACAAAAAACAAACCAACAACAACAAAAAACACTGTATTTTTATGTAGGTGTATGACATAGAAAAATGAAACACCTAAAACTATCCTAACTCGAACACATAGAAACACCAGAAAAGTCACTATTTCTTTTTTATTTATTTATTTATTTATTTATTTTCTTCTTTGGGTCACACCTGGCGATGCACAAGGGTTACTCCTGGCTCTGCACTCAGGAGTTACTCCTGGCGGTGCTCAGGGGACCATATGGGATGTTGGGAATCGAACCCGGGTCGGCCGCGTGCAAGGCAAACGCCCTACCTGCTATGCTATTTCTCCAGCCCCAAAAGTCACTATTTCTTGGTCATACCTAAAAACTAAGAACCTATTGAGGTCAGCCTACATGCAGGATTTCAAAGAAAAGAGAACTGGACCTCAAGGAAGTCCGCCTGAGCACTAATACCAGTAGCTCTGCCTTACTTGCCCTAGTTTGGGAATCAAAAAAAAAAATAAATAAAAGTATGTAAGGGCCAGAGAGATAGTACAGCAGGTAGGGTCATTTGCCTTGTGCTCGCCCAACCCAGATTCAGTCCCTGGTATCTAATCGCCGCGCACACACACACACACACACACACACACACACACACACACACACACTGCTCTGCATCGAGTTTATTTGCCTGTGCGTTTTGCCTTCCTAATCGAACACTTAAATCTTTCCATCTGGAGGCAATGTGCTAAAAAAAGGAACGTTGGCAACATTTGCTTTTACTGCAGATTCACAAGTGGTCTCTGGAAAGGTTTAAGACGTATCTTGCCCTCGTGCTGGTCCAAACTTGAAGTTCTGTGAGTTTTATGGTTTCAAATGCACCCAGGGTTGCCGGCACAGCCGCCCCCTCCAGCTTGCCCTGTCCTGCAGAAAGCTCCTTCCTGCCTGTGTTCAGTTCACCATGCACTGCACACTTCCTCCAACTCCCCCTCCAGCTGTGTCAACCCTTCCAAGAGCTTCCAGCCCATTTAGTTGGCAGGTCACAAACTCATGACCCAGAAAACCCTCGAGGCCTGGCCCAGCATGCCTTTCTAGCAAGAATGCACTCGTCTTATCTGCACCGTCAACTCTACCCTCAGTGAAGTTTTGGGAGATAATCTCATTTGTTCCTGAAAGTTCATGAAAGATATTTAGGCAGGACTACTAAAAAGTACCTTTTAGTGTTGGAGCGATAATTCAAAGGGCAGGAAAAGGCCCTGGGTTCAACCCATAGGGACCGTATAAGTGTACCCTTAGTGCTGAACTTGAACCCTCCCCTGCTGAAGTACTTTTTTAGTAAACCAGAAATTAAGGAGCTGGAGAAATAGTACAGTAGATAGGGTGATTGCTTTGCACTTGGCTGAATCAGACTTCAATCTCTGGCACCCCTTACGGTCCCCTGAGCCTGCCAGGAGTAAGCCCAGAACAGCACCGGGTGTGGCCCAAAAACCAAACCCAAACAAACAAAACCCTGGAGAATAGTCTTAAAGCAAATGGGGACCAAAACGATAGTACAACGGGTAGGGCATTTGCCTTGCATGCATCTGACCTGGGTTCGATCCCTGGCAGCCCATCTGCTGCACTGAGCACCGCCAGGAGTGATTCCTGAGTGCAGGAGTATTTCCTGGTGTGGCCCAAAGACCAAAACCAAAACAAACCAAGAAGAAAAAAATGGTTAACAGAGCCACAGTTCAAGAGACTGCTTTGCATGGAGGAAGCCTGGGATTGATCCCTAGTACCATGTGGCTCCCTGAGCACTCCCCACGTGTGACCCCTGAGTACCACTACAAAAAAAGAAAAACAAAAAGGGAAAACTCTCGTGCTTTATTTCCTTTCCTGTCGTGATGACTAATCTTTCCTTTCCAGTGTGTACAAACCTGGGAGCCTTGTAAGCCTTGTGTTGGAACGGCAGTGGGCTGAAGACAGAGCTGATTAAGGCCGATGTGACAGGCGCCCTGTGTGAAAGGAAACGTGTTCTTTTCCTGGGAATTGTTTTTGCTGACATTGACTGTCGTTTCAGTCTCAACAACCTTAGACGAGCAGAACGTACGAGCTTTCCTCAGATGTAAAATCAAAGGAGCACAAGACTCTTTTATTTATTTTATTTTTTGCTTTCTGGGTCACACCCGGTGATGCACAGGGGTTACTCCTGGCTCATGCACTCAGGAATTACTCCTGGCGGTGCTCAGGGGACCCTATGGGATGCTGGGAATCGAACCCAGGTTTGCCGTCTGCAAAGCAAACGCCCTCCCCGCTGTGCTATCGCTCCAGTCCCGAATCTTTATAAGCCTCAATATACCAATCTGTGAAGCTGAATAAAAATGAAAGATATGGGGCTGGAGAGATAGCACAGCGGGGAGGGCGTTTGCCTTGCACGCAGCCGACTCGAGTTCGATTCCCAGCATCCCATATGGTCCCCTGAGCACTGCCAGGAGTGACTCCTGAGTGCAGAGCCAGGA